GAGTGTGGAACAAGCTGCCCAGCCACGTTGGTGAAGCTGATGCCTTGGCTTCCTTCAGGAAACAGTTGGATGAACCAGCTTCCGCAACCTGGCTGGGCAGCTTGTTCCACACTCCCACAACTCTTTGTGTAAGGTGTTTTTGATCAAATGGATCAATTTAGTCACTAACGCCTTAATGGGCAAAGAGGACCACTAGATGGCCTCTTACATTCATCATGTTCAAACTTAAGATCGGTGGCCATAGGTGGTGTAAGTGCAGTTTGGGAGCATGACGAGATAAATTAGGTCAGTAAATTGGACTACAAATGGTATGCCAACTCTCTCTGAGTGGTCTATGTTTTCCAAGTGAAATGGGAATTTCTTGAAATGCCCCCGTCTTTCCATCTTTTTTTCTTTTTGAAGGTTAAAACTCTCTTCCCGGGAGGGAGTCGTGTGGCACTGATTCGAGAGAGGCGCAAAGCTCGTTTGTGAGACGTCGCCAGAGGGAAACCTCCCGCAAGCAGTGACCGAGGTCCACCCCCTCCTGCAGGAGGTACTCAGGGATTCGACAAACATTCTTCATCCGCAACGACAAGTGTATTCCCAGAATTCCCCGAATTCCACACCCTGTCTGAAGCAGGACTGCTCCCAGCCTGACTGTTACAATGAGAGGAAGCTCACAGCGAGGCTCACATCATAATGTTTTCTTTGCAAATGTCTACCAGGGTGTTTTTTTGAATCGGAAAGGTCTCGAAATGCTTTGTTATGACTTTGGCAACGATGCAATCCACTGGCCTTGCCAACAAAGCCCTCTGAACTTGGATCTGACAGCCGCTGGTTGACCGTGAAGGGGGGGCAGTCAGAGCTCCCCTCCCCGAATACACTCTTTTTCACTCTTTACGTTACTCGCCACAACGGAGGAAAAGGCGGAAAAGACGGGTACGGGGCTCCATCTCCAACTGCATTTCCTGTGTCCTGTGTCCGTCAAATTTTCCTCCTTTCAGAAATACCAGCCTTACACAAGAAGGGAATTCCGGCGAGCTCCTCTTGCGGACGCGATTCGCTAGCCAACGGTTCGCTCGGAAAGCCGGCGCACAACTGGCGGACGAGACGGCGCAACGTTTTGGGGTGTTTTTTTTTGGCGACTCTGCAGAAGCACGCCTCTGGGGACCCTTTTTCCGATTTCTCGCCGTGCCTCGGCGCTTATCTCCTGCGTGTTCCTCGCTCTTCACCTGGTAGTTGGTTCGTGTGGAAATGACGGCCATTTAGAAGCGGGCGAGCTGGAGGGGACAAGGCTGTCACGCGTTCGACTCCTCTCCGCGGGCGGAGACGGGGCGGGGCGGCGGCCGGCTCAGCTCATTGGTCAGACAGTGCTGCGTCGGCGATGACATCATCCTCACCCGGGGGGGGCAGCAAATGTTCTCGGGACTATGTACATTTGCTGCACGTATACGTCTGCGTGCACTTTACACAGGGCTGCCAACTCCAAATCTAGAGGGTCGCATGCGATTACATTACGTTTGGCTCTCTGCTTTACTATTCTGTTCACCATTGGGTTTGATTTTGTGATTGTATTTGCGAGGTCCCGACTCTCCATGGTCGTTTGTGGTCATTACAAATCCCAGGGCGTTTCTTGAAAAGAGTAGGGGTGTAACCCCGGCGTCCTGGCCAAATTTCCCATTGGCCTTTACCAGTCATGTCCTCCTAATAATCCCCCTCTCTGAACTGGCTCCATCACTCTGCTCTCCTCCCCACTGAGAGCTGGTGTGTGGGGAGCGGACTGGCGCATCATCCAGGTGGGGGGCTGCACACTGGTGGTGGTAGTGGGATTTCCAATTACCTGTAAAGTGCTTTGAGTGGAGGGTCCAGAAAAGCACTATATAAGTGTAAGCAATTATT